CCCCAAAACCCCAAAACCCCAAAACCCCAAAACCCCAAAACCCCAAAACCCCAAAAATAATTATAAAACAGAATTTGTTGCTAAAATGGCTTTTAAGCATCGAAGAAAAAGTTTTGAGAATACCTGTCCTTCTCTTCTAAAGACGAATATTAAAGAACGGTACTGTGAAAGAAGGTACAAGGAATACCTGATGGATCCTGATGAAGGTAAGGATTTGAGGGAGGATGAGAGAAAGGGATTGTGAAGAGATAGAGCGAAAAAGAGGAATTTTGAAGGGAGTTTTTAGAAATTTAGCGTTTTTAAGGTTAGGAGTGGGTTTAGAGGGGTTTGAGTGATTTTTAAGGGGTTTTAAAGTGGGTTTGGGTAGGTAGATTTGTATTTTTATTTTTGGTGTTTAGATGAACAAGATAAAGACGAAGAAGAATATAGTGGAGATCTTGACCATATTTTAGATGATGAAGACTCAGATAAAGGTAGTTTCAAATAAATTACACCATAGAGTTTCAAATACTACAATCTTCAAAATTGTCCATGGTCTCAAAAATAAAATCTCATGCTTTGAATATTTTAAATAACAATAGATTCTTACTCTCAAGACAAGAAATAAGTAAATGTCTTTATACCCATTTAGTGAGTATTCCATTATATAAAAACTTCGTAAATAAAGGTATTGCTGAAATTTGAGAGGAGGAAAAGGAAGAATCTTCTCCATCACCAAAAGCTTCCGCTCTCCCTTGTAACTTCATCCATTTACTACTAAAGGCCAAGTGTTCTATCCAGAGATAACAGATGCTCCTGATTGCTTGAAACTGAAATAACAAACGTAGAAGGATGAAGAGGTATTTACATTGTCTAGCACTGTAGAAAACTTAGAAGGCTCAAAGTGATTGACTGCCTTAGTGATACTAACGCATAATAGTACTCCTGTAGGGTTTTTCCGATACCCTGGTGAATTCAACTTCAGCTATTTTTACTAATTCAATTGAATTTTTAATAACTGGGGTTTTGGGGTTTTGGGGTTTTGGGGTTTTGGGG